TTTCAATAGAGATTTGCAAATTCAGTGAATATGTATACGCATATTATTTTAAAGACTATAAATGTTGGATATGGATCAGTAGTTCTCCACTGTACTCTACTTTGTACGTATAGTTTTATGCGACACAGACTCGCTTGAGAGTAGTTATATCTATATTTTCAATAACTTGTTCTCTAATCCTATAACTAAGGCTCTGCTTTCTAGTGAAATAAATCACGTCAAGTTGCCGTTTGCCATATTATAAACAATTATTTTATTAAAAAACAATACAAGTAAAACTATACTTAATTCAACAATTTTACGCACATCTTTATCGAAACCTCTTTGGTGCCTCACTTAAGAAGATGACTTTGAGAATTTAATACACGAGCAACACAATTAAACTCGATCGTGTTTACATACAAAGTAAGTAGTAATTATAAATAATTAAAACACAAGCCAATTTTCTATTTTATAGGGTTCTCGGTCTATATCCGGACCATTCAAATCTGCAACATTTGCAATCCGGTAAAATATCTAAAACGCCACAAACTAGCACTAAAAGCAAAGCTAATAAGAGTTAATCGATATATTAATTTAGGTGAGGATCTCTAACCATCAGTTGATGATAGCTTCAGCCATCCACTTCCTTTATAACTAGCAAGAATATAGCGCCAGTAGTATTTTTGCGCCTAACATTAAGGGTAATTCCAAATAATTATAATTGCACCATTGCCCCTGAGTCAGTTGTTCTGCAACTCAAATTGTTTCTTATAGAATCTGAATATGGATATTACTCTAAAATTTAGGTGTCCCTTGAGTATACAGTGGCCTTCTTTCAATATTCCCATTAACATTTTAAATTTGCTCTTGGTGAAGGCTATACAGAATTTAAGTCTTTAAGTACTACTTTTTCTACTATTTCTTCATCTTTATTATTCTTTGAGAACTTCCATAGTCTTCTGCCTGTACTTTAATATGGTTCAGGGACCTACTTTTATGAAGGAAATTCTTTTATCGAACTTATCCATTTCCTGGCTCACTACATATGCAAAAACCTATCAAATCTAACTATGTCAATATTGTCTATTCAATTTAATTTTGTAAATAGTCATACAATCGACTTCGTAGCAGTTTAATATTCGAATGGTTGCTTGACTACCTGGTAATATGGCTGTGTCCCATCTTGTGGAAACTTTATGTTTGATAAAACTTCGCGGATCTTTCGCTGGTGTGAAAATCTATTTAAATAGTGGTTCAATTCTAATTTTTTTTTTTGTTTTAAAACTACTTTGCTCCATTTTCTTTATTTTCTCACTTTCACTGCAATGTATTTTTTGCAGTTGAAGATCCTTTATTGTTATTTGGAATTTCAACAATTCATGTTACACACCTTCCAGGTAAAGTACAACCACGAAATGCAAAGTTTCGTGGTTATCGCTCATAGCTTTGTGTGAGGATACGCAATGCACCACTTCATGGTGCCACCACTTCTTTATGGAAGAAATCCTTTGTTTCTATCAGATATTAAGTTGGAAACAAAGCGAGAAAGTTAAAAAATTATAACAAACATTAATAAAGTAATATTTGATACATTAATTAAATCGTACACATAAATATTTTTATACCAATAATGAAACCGATTTCAATTCATCCATTCTATCATTGTATATGGGTTTCTTCTAATTTTTAATTCATTCTCCATCTTGCTATTTCTTTTGTGTGTCACTGCTTTCTTCTTCAGTAAAGGACTCTAAGTAAAAGCAATCACACTAGTTTTCATCGGTTTTCAGTTGCCTTCTACACCAATATTAACCAAAATACAATATCTTCTAAAAGGTCAGCCTGAAAAAATCAAAAGTGGTTTATCTTAACTGTTATAGTAATATATCAATCTTATAATCAAGTCAATGCATTTATGGCGATGGAGACTGTGACGACGCAGAGCACACCTTCTTTTACTGTAATAGGTGACTCACAAATAGAGAAGAAATAATAGCGCAGATTAGACCTATAAATCCCGAAAATATAGTGGAAAAGATGAAAGCGAACCTAGAGAGTTGGAGAACGAAAGAGTCATATGTGAAATAAGTTCTCAAAACGAAGAAATTAGATCTAGAAAGGAGAACTAGAAACTAGACTAAGAAATATAATAAATAGAGTGGACACCAAGAAAATGTGGTGAAAAAGTGGTGGTCTGGACGTAGATCGAAAATCAAAAGAGCGTGGCTTGAAATGCCAACATAAAAGAAACCCTCCTTGAAGTAATGCGAAAGCGGTTCCGTGGGGGAATAAGTCTCGCTGAAGAGGGGGTGTTTTAGTCCCTATACTACGACGACGGTCGAAAAAAAAAAAATTAAGTCAATAATGTATATGTGTGGATTACATTATGGTATTAAAAGACATAAACACAATAAAGACAAATGGGAGCACACACTTCTACTGATGATTAAAAGGTATAGTATTTTTGATGAAGACCCAGTTTCTAATAAAACTATATTAAACATTAAGTACTCCATCCTAATAACTGAATGACTGAGTTGTGTTGAAACAAACAAATTATTTGACACAACATCTGGGATTTAATATAATCCACGCTCGATATGGGTTATAGGTACAACTGTCTTTTTCGCTGTGTTTCCAGCCCCTCTATGAACTCAATACAAGACTTTGACATTATGAATATGAGAAGAATAAAAAAGTAATACTGATGTTACAATGCCATATGAAGTCACTTAAAATATTCAAAAAGCTATTTGGTTTTTACTGCTGTCAGATAAAATAAACGCCAGTAAATAACCGTGTGTCCATAATGCATGTCAGAATGCAAACAAATTAAACTCAAGTGTTGGCTCTTTTATTTATTTTAAAATAATTACAGCAGAAATATAATTGCTATAATGGAACGAATTTATTTAAATCAGATTTAATGCATTACATATTTTTTAAAATAATTATCCATGTGGTATAAATGGAATAAATGAATGTTGATTATTGTCAAATTTGTCGTTAATTACATTTCCCGAATTAAATGGCTTTTTAAACTCAAACAATATGAAAAATTATTCAATTTTTATAAATTGCACAAATAATTTATATTTGTTTTGAATTTTAGATATTTAATTTAAATAAAAAAAGTCTTAAATTTTTTTATTTTATTTTTCATAGTCTCAAACCCAACATTCACACCTAACATTCATTCCAATAAAATGCAGCCCATTGAATTAAGTAAGGTCTGTGATATAAGGTTGACATCTAGTACGTTTCCACTGTTTACTTAGTAAGCTTAACTTATAATAAAATTATGTTATAATGTTATAATTATAATTATATTTTTGTGCCTATTTTTTCAATGAAATTGGCTATATTGACGTATTTCGAAAAGGTTACGCCAGGTATTAATAGCACTTTCAGATGGTTATGTCAATAACATATATGCACAATTTTCACCTCTTCATATTTATCGAACCATTATTCTTAAGCAATTTGCCGGTTTTCTCTTCTATCTCTTCTCTGTTATCAAATATCTTGCAGTTACTTTTCTACTTGGTATATATATAATTCTTTGTTGCTTTTGAATGTGATTCAAACAATTTCAGAGGATGGTAACCCTAATCTAAGCATATTAGCAGGTAACGGCCACCTTAATAATGTGGTTATCAGTAGAGAAATGTTGTGTGTGATATTAAGATCTTTTCAAGTGTATTAGTATCTTATGGTTTATTCCAGAAACATCAATTTGAAAATTATGCTTAAAGAAAAGATGTATTTCAAAAACCTAATGCTTGAAGATATTATAACAAATATAATTTTATTAATAACAAGAAGTATGATTATAAAAATTATTCTGTAATAACAATGCTGTTATAAAAAAAATATAGTAATTATAATCAGTTAGGTAAAAATAGTAACTTTACTTGTAGAAAGTGTTACTGTCGAAATTTGAAAATGCTACACAGAGTTTACTCGTACATTTCATTTCAAGTAAAATTTGTCTTCATGTGTGAATCAGCTGTTTTGGTTTGAATTTAAATTTTTGTATTGTTTATTTGCGCGGCACTGGTGTTCTCACCAGACTTTACACAAAGCTGTTCCATGAAAATCTGTGTAAAGAGCGTAATTTGGTACATAGTTTGTGTTACGCTCTCAGTTTGTACTTTACTTGTGTTTTACTTGAGTTTTACTACGAGTAGCTCGTGGAACAGAGCTTATATATTGCTAGTGCCAAGTTAGCAACGTTGCTATGAAAGCTAGATTTTTATTTATGAATAAATATTAAAAAAATGATTTATTTGTTGAACTTTTTTTCAGAGGTATTTAATATTTGAGTTAAAGTATTAAAATGATATTTATTAATTCTATTTCTTGAGCATATTTTCTATACTATGGAGGTTGAAATTTTTGATAACACTTAGTATTTGCGTGCAAATTAGTACCGTTTCTAGGTTTTTCTAGAAATAAACTTTGAAAAAATAAATATATGCTAAATTTTTCTTAGTAGGATTACAAAAATACGCATCAGATATCTAATGTTTATATAACAATCGAAAGACTTTTCACGATTTTATAAATAATATGCATTTCTGTTAATAATTTTTAATTTTTTAAAATGAAAAAATGTCAAAAGGAAAATCCGAAACGATAATGAAGACTCTGAATTAACTTTAAATAACTCTAAATTTAACTTTAAAGTGCGTTGACAAAAGTTCTCATTTAGGACGTGTGCGAGTTCGAGTAAATTAAGGAAAATAGAAAATTGTGTCGGTATGTTGGCATAATGTTGGTATTTACTTGAATTTCAAGTAGGGTAAATTAGATAAAAATTAGGTAAATTAGGTTTCACCACTGTGAATATTTTATAAGATATATATGAAAACTTTTAACAGAAAAATAATAAATAAGTGCAATAAATAAATTTAAATAAATGGAGTTCAAAGAATGCCTAGGAAATTTCAATTTACTTTACTTCAATTTACTCAAACTTGCACACGGCCTAAATAAATATCTATTCTTGAGTACAGTACTGAAAATATGCGTTAACGGAGATGCAACTCTGTTATACACGTGACAAACGACGCCATCTATTCAGTGTGAAGCTCGAACCTCTACCTTTCGCAGACGAACGTCATTTGTTTTGAGTGTCGGTGTTTTTTGGGTTAATAAGGAAAATGGATAAAATTAAAATACAATGCAGAGCGTGCATGACCTTGACAGCTCGAGAGTATATTGATATGCAGTCGATATTTACTGATGAACTCAGTTATTATGACGTATTTGCATTTGTAACGCAGCTAAATGTAAAATCTGGTGATGGGTCGGTGACAATGTTATGTCAAAATTGCGCAAATAACGTAAAGAATATCTATACATTTCTAACTGAGGCACATTACTCCGATATAGAATTTCGTGGAAAAATGGAATCAGAGGGCAAGTCAGAGAATAAGCAGACTAAATGGTTCATGAATGAGGTAGTGTAATATTTTAAATATATGTTAGTAAGCAGTATTAATATATTATTAATTGTAATTTTCAGTTTCGTAAAAAAAGTGCAGAAAAGGAAGGTGCTGAAAACAGTGTAAATATTGTCGAAGCAAGAGCAACTTCGTCAAGACTTGATCTAGGAAATATTTGTGAAGAAATGCTATGCGAAGATGCTTTTCTAAGCAAAGTTACACCAACTAAGGGAGATTATTCTTTGCCTAAAAAGTTGAACAAGTAAACGTTTGAAAAGTTCGTATCATTGAGCTCAACAATAAATTTTTCCGAGTTCCAAAATCCAAAAAGTTTGTAAATCTACACAAAAAAGTGAGAGAAAAATTGTATGAAACTTGTCAATATCTAGTCTGTGTAGTCTTCATGCAACTTGATTTGTAATGATAGTTTCTGTTTATTCCTGTACTTATTGAACATATTTAATATATTTAATTTTTTATAACATTACGTTCAGTATATTATTTACATTGTTTGAAATATCGCAGTGATTTTTGATGATGTTTGGTTAAAAAACACAAAGAAATATATACGTATATATAGGGAATTATTCATTTTTTATTCAGTTGGAACTAATTTGCTATTATAAGAAAATCACATTTCGCTTTATGCTCTTTTAAAGTTCGCTCTTCATATGACACGGTTTTATTAATTTTTTTTCTGTATTAAAGAAACAGAACAGTCCTAGACTCTCATTTACCATTATGGTGCCATTTACCATATTCGATATAAGATGATATATGTTATGAGGACCGCATGCTGCTAATAAAAATTAAGGTTCTCCAATTCTTCAACCAAATATTTCCTTTCTGGCAATCACTTACCTACAAAACTAGTATAGCAGGAACAATTGAAAACCATTGCAGTAATATATTTGGTAATCAAGAAGATGGTTTATTGTTGAGCTCTTTAAAAAATGCAATGGACCTTTTTTTTATATTGTGTTAAATAATATTGAAGCTCTAGTGTTTAAAAAAAAACTCAACTTCATTAATTTGTCACCGACTTCTCAGCGCTGGTCCAATATTAAGGTATATGTATACCTCTTAAAGTAATACATATATATACAAAAATACATTTAGAACATTTCTTTTATAAATTCAAAAAAAATTTTCTTCTGGTAATGGTAAATTGTTTCTTCTTCTTCTTATAGCGTTTATCGCTAAATATCCATGGATGTATATATAAATTTCGGCTATTACATTTTGTGATTCTTAAATTTATTTTCGATTGTGACCTTTCCGCAAACGTTGGATGTATTTTTTTACAGTTGGTAGGCAATATAATTTTTAATATTAATTTGTGACTTTTTTAAAATATTTGTGGTGCCTACGGAAATGAAAAGACATTAAGTTAAGTACTTAAGCTTTAAAATGGCTACTGAAATTATGATATATACAGTTTGGTTTTAGTTTCTTTCCATTAATGAACAATTTAAGTCAGACACCATGCTTCCTTGTCCATGGGCGGTAGTAGTACTCATAAAAAAACAACTCTTGACTTCATAAGTCAAATTAAATTTGCATAGAAATGCGATTTAAAAATGTAGCTAAAGGCAGCTAAGGATATTGCAATTATTAAGAAACTTTTTTTTTTGCTGCTGTTTATAGGCATGTCACTTGACACTTCTAAATAAGAACAAATGAAGCAATGTTCTCCTTGCTCAAACTGCTCAAAAATCGATTTGAAATCAAAGTATTCCATGACCATAAATAGACTTAATAATCTCTACTTCACTCTTGAATTATCACAATACTTAACAATTTATCCTGGCAATAACATAAAATTGAACTGAAACAGTAGCTCGAACGGCGTGTACGCAATATTTCCATCATTCTCGGTTCCGGCGGAACACAGCTTTGTGGTGATGTGAAAAGTTGTTTAGCAATAAACTACCAAATGTAATACGATTGGATTTAAAAAAGATTTATCCTTATTTGGTGTATCTTAGGAGTGTACAACTTAGCAATCACGTAATTACATTTGCGTTTATACATTATGTATGTTTAGACGTACTGCCATCCTTCTTTAATATTTCAAACACTTATATTTATATATGTGTATTACTACTTATCACTCCTATTATCGTTAATTGGTTATCCTGAAAACTTTTGTTTTTATACTGCAAAAGTTATTTAAACAAACGTAAAAAATACTACTTCCTTTACAAAGGGAACACTGCATAAGGGAAATCATTAGTAGTAAAGCAACTGAAACAACAAAAAATTTTAAAAAGCATCTTTATTATTATTGAGTAAGGGATCGTGCACTGCGACCTGAAAGATCTATTGTGCCCCTTTGTCGGGTTATATATTCTCCATTATTTCTTTCTTTAATGAAAGACAGTATGGATCCTATCTTCCCCAGTCTTGAATTCTTATGATCCATGAAACACCCTCCTAGGTGTTTCTTTCGCTTATGCATCAGTGCCGGGCACTCCCCAAGCACATGGTATGCCGTTTCTCTCTCTTCCCTGTAGTATCTGCAGTCTGAGTTGGATTGAATTCCTAACTTCGATAGGTGATTATTCAATCTGCAGTGTATCTGGCGACGAATTCATAAAACCAATGTTTACTAAATACGAACTGAAGCTGAGGTTCATTCGCTATCGCAAAACATCTATTTTATTTTTTTCATGACTTTCACAAAATTTTTATGGTAATTTAGTAAATCTCTATAGTACACTTTATTTGACTATAACTTTAACTATTAACTTTAACACAAAAAAATATTTACATTAGTCCCAGCTGCTGGCTTCTCCTCTTGATCGTATGAACACGAATTAACGAATGAGTACCCACAACTGCTAGTGTCCTTTTTATACATTATTTGCCTGTCACTGTTCCGTGCCGTTCGCAAGTTCTAACGTGTGTTTTCGGCTGGTGCTGCCATAGTAAAAATATTGCCAGAGAAACTTAGTAATATATCTGGTAATCTCATATCTCACATCTCTCAGCTCTTTGGTTCTTCTTAATCAAATTTTATTCGCTTTTGTTGTAAGGGAACACAAAATCAGTAAAAACCGGAGAAAATGTGTAGAAATTAATATGAGAGAATTATTGCAAACATGAACCCATATAATCTCCATTAATCACTCACATCACTATATTTGTGCACTCCATAAGCACATGTTATAATGTGTTTACACTTTGACTTATTTAACCTCTCAAACATACTCTCATATGGATTTTGTTTGAAAAATGTTAAGTTTTGCTGCATAATTGTCGAGTGTAACGCCAAAGTGTGAAATTCCAACCAAGTCTTATGTGTTATAACAAAATTTGTAGGCATGTCATGCAGACTTACATATGTAAATAACGATATTTTGATTTTTCGACAGTTGCTGGTATATTTACGATATTAATCGGATTTTGGTTAAACTCTACACACATTTTTTTCCTGTTCAAATCATTAAAGTGTAAATATCACGGAGTGGCACGCAAGTTTTAAAAATGACTACATTGTCTATTCTTATGGTGATCGTCAGCAGGATTGAAAGGGCAAGGACATTATAAGTAAACACTACATTTAATAATTCTCATCGTTCCACATATTTCTTTGTTTCACTAACAACGAAACTACGCTTGCTCGCATTATATTGGTTATTTCCTACAGTGAAAGACGGAGGACGTTGGTTTCGATTCCATTTGAGTTGCCTGAAAAAGTTATTGTGGAATTATTTAAGATGCAAATTATTATTGTATAAGTTGAAAAAGTTGTATATAGTAAAGTTGTATACAAATTTGTTGTATTTGTGGTATTTGTGTGCAAATGATCGAAGAGACTAGTTATGTGAGTAAAATATGTATAACGGGATAAAATGTCATGTTATTTATAATTAAAGCTTGAGTACATACACACATATAGACATTTGTTGCAATGCTTCATAATGCTACAATCGAAATACCTATTAAAACACATTAGTTAGTAATACTTGATCTGTCGGATCAGATGTTGCGAGTGTCGGTTATAATGATACGAATATTCATAATACATATTTCCAGCAACAGGTATTGTAGATAAGAATTTGTTTCTTTTATCACAACAACCAGAAACACTATATCCTCACCTTATGCGACCGCAACGGGCACTCATAGTTCCGCAGCTGAGCTGAGTTTTTGAGCTGAAGATCAACTTTTGCAGTTGTCTTAATATTGTTGAATGTCTTAAATATCATTAAAAGTCACGTAACATATTGTGGTTTTAATTAGCGGGAGATTATATCTGTAATCGGCATTGCAAGTTTAGACCGTTTTCATGCGTTATTTTATAAAGATCAGTGCAGACTTTTATTACTAATCCTGCAGTGCAGTTTTTTTTTATCGTGATATCTATATATTTCAATATTATAGTAAATTTAAAACAAATATATTTATATATACGTTTAAGTATAAATCTTATTATTTAATTTTTATTTGGAGTTTAAGAACACACTAATAAGCAATCTCGCAAATGCTCGTTCGGCAGACTCTTATTACTAGATTGTGAATTTTACCCACTTTATCCTCAGATATCACCACATAAGGCGTTTTGAACACTCAGAATTTTTTATGTCCATAAAGAAAAAACGCAACAGTCGATCACTTCCAAATCTTTTCATATGCAGATCCAGAGTTTAAATATTGCTTATGAAGATTTTTTTGGTTTCAGAAGCGTTTATTTGTGATCACACACAAATCTCGCACTAAAAAATACTCTTGACTTAGACTTTTAAGTATCATCAATTTTCAAAATATATAGTTATTAATATTATTACAAAATGAGTTAAAATTTTGACGCAGTTATCATCAACTTATCAAATTATCAAATAAATAGTTATCAGTTAATGGCGAATCAATAAATTAATATATATAACGAACCTTTTGGAATATATAAGAAGCTAACCTTATAAAGCATCTTTTTCTATATAGGTATTAGCTTCCTCAGTATTTCATGTTAAGCTGTTCATTAATTAAGCTTCAATTAATTTATCTCTTGTCCTTAATGGAGTTTATACTGCAAAATTAGTTGCAGCATATCTTTTATCTCTTATGATGTGTTCAATGTATGCAATTTTTCGTCGTTTTATATTGTAAAATCTAATGTTATCTATTATTATTCTAAGCATCTTAAATGGTTCCAGTTAGTTCGTGTTGTTGTTGTTTTGTGCCCGCTAAGATCTGTAAAGTAGGTAACATTCTTTGAATCACATCACGAATACATGGGTTTAGATGTAGTTGTGTAAGAGGGGTGGGTATTGTAAAAAAATGTAGGTGGATTGAAAAATGGGTGAGACTTGAATTGAAGTTAACTAGGAGCAAGATAGAAAAATCTAGCCACTTCTATGATGACGATTCCAAAGGTTGATTAGACTTAGGTTTACATGCGTGATAGTTTAAAAGAACAGATAGCAGAAGAACAGATGTTATGTAAGGGTATAGCTGAAGTAGAGCTGACGCATTTATGTGTGATAAGTAATTGTTTAGTATAAAGATAAATTAAAGAACGCCCGGTCAGGGGCGTAGCCTGAGCTACTAATCGAATTCGACAACCACTAATCGAATTCGGTTCGCCACTCCGAAAAATTATTACATAAGCTGATATGTCTTCACTTCCTACTTCAATATTGACAATGCCTGCTGTTGTATATTGTTTAGACGTCTCTTTTGGCTTAGAATTATAAAATTTGTCTTATCTGTGTTGATATTGAGTCTATAATATTTGCTCTAGGTATAGATTAAAGTAATTAATTGTTAAATGTATTTTATTATATTAGTTATTATGGTCACATTGTTCGCATATATATAATACGATACTATAAACTATATAAAAAGATGTAATGATAAATTTATTTTTGCCGAAACTTCGATTCGAATTTTCAACTATATTTATAAATTTCTTTCTACCTTTAAATACAATGCATTTAGACTTTGATGGAAAGCTTATTTTTATCAAATATTTTATATAGGTTCTACTTTATAGGCTCTTCAATCTGGGTCAAAGTGGAATAACCATAATATAGACACATCTGTGTGGGCGGGTCCAAAGGCAAATTTTTTATAATTTAGTATGTGGATAAATTATCAACATCCAGACAAATAGACGAACATTGCTAAATATGTTTGTCATATCATGTCGATCATATGTATATCAATATGGTTTCTATGGTTCCTGGCTAATTTTTTTGCGTTACAAACATTTTGATAAGCTTAATATATCTATTGTTTATAACATCTTAATGTTGTGGATTTTTTAAATTATTCAAATATTTTACGATATTGTATTTTCAGAAATATGAAATATTAAAATGGCTGGGAGAAGTTGTGGAACACTATTCAAGTTACTCTCCGACAATGATTGCTCTGTACCCAGTGAATACCGCAATTTGCAATCACAATTTTCCTCAATTACATCAAGGTTAGATGCTACTTCTGTTTCAGTAACTTCTGAAGGTGCTACTTCAACAGGCCGTGAAGTTGCATTTCGACATGTGGAAGGTGTTGGAAAGCGATCAAAACTTTTTGCGTACATGTTAGGAAACATAAATGCTTGTACAAAGATGGAAGAAAGCAATCAACACAAAATAGAGCACACATTTATACTCAGAAAGAAATTCCAACATGGAACGGAACGAAAGTTCAAAACCAGGGAGATTATATTGGTACTGAATTTAATCACCAATTGTATTTACTTTAAAGTTGTGTATTCTTAGTAATATTTGCAAACAGTCTTTTTATTTGGAAGGGAAAGATAGTTTGATGTAAGCGCGTTGGATTTTTTAAAAATAATTGTAAGAATAATACGATTCTGAAAATTTAAATTTCTAAGTAAAAATTAATGAGAAATTCATCGAGAGAATTTGAGTTTCATAATAGGATTTCATGATGAATTTAAATCAAAAATATAAATTGAAGGTTTCAATGTATATTTTGTTCAAAAAATATTGTTCGAATAATAAAGATAACGCCAAATATTTCGAGTCCATCATATATAGACGAGTGTGTTTATTTTAAAAGAATTGCATTCTTAAAAAAAAAATGGCAACAGTGAATATCTATAGCTTATCCTAGAGCATCATATTATCTTATTCCAGTATAGTGTCGAACAATTGTGCCTTGTTTTCTTTAATAAGCTTGCTTTTTTCAAATGGATCCCCGTATAATAAATATTTTAAATTTCAAAGAAAACTGCTAATGCTTCACAACTTTTAATTCTGTATATTCTGGTCTATATATTATAGATTGGCTACCTCTAAATGTTTAAACAAATCTGCGCAATAATTGGTTTATAATTGTTCTATAATAATTGTTCTTCGTAGATGCATAGATTTTGGCTGTGCAGATTACCCTACCATTTTAAATACATTTAAGATTTAAGATTCATGTGCAATATGATATTTAACATGTAAGTCATACATTACTTCTATAACTACATCTATATAGACAGAAATTTGTGAAATATATATGTGTATTGGATTTAGTGAAGTTATTTAAAAATATAGTTGAGAATAAAATTTGAGTTTATAGTAAATGGTATGGACGTAAACAAGAAGTACATAGGGATGGTAAATATGTTCCTAAAAGTGTGTCCGAAATAATCTTCCATATTAATAAGGAGACCCAAAAACTAATAGCCCCTAAATAAATCGATGACGATATGCATGCGCCTTTATATGTGTGTAAAAGTGTATATTAAATAGAACAGTTTTTAGTTTTAGTTTTTTATATATGTATTTCGACTACATTAAATATAAAATTCTATATTAACTTTTTTATATTACAGATATTAAAGTACCTATAGTTGCCAACTATATCAAACGTAATGTAATGCCGGATACTGAAGTCTATGAATATAACATCAAATTCACTCCAAATATTGAAGTAAATAGCTTGAAAAGTAAATACCTTTCTGACCATGAAGAAATTTTGGGCAAAACAAAGTTGATCAATGGATCACAATTGTTATTGCCATAGTTATTACCAAATGTCCAAATGACACTTATTTCTAGAAATGATAGAGATGGTTCCGACGTTGAGATACAAATTACTTTTAAACAAAAAAAATCAGTAAAAGATGTATTGGATATTTACAATATAATATTTGATAGAATCATTAAATCATTAAATTATATTCGTGTTGGTAAAAATCACTTTGATCCCACAAATCCCTAAACAATGTCAAATGCAAAATTAGAAATTGTGCCTGAATATGCGACTGCAGTAACTGAATGCGAAGGAGGATTAATGCTTTGTTTTAATCTATCTCTTCGCTGTTCTCTCTCAGGTTTGTCAAGTTTAATATTATATTTATAATTTCGAGAAATATTTAAAAAATTTATTTTGGGATAATATTATTAAAGCATAACTACAGATAAATTTTTGATAAACATTGATAAAATGTTTGATGGCCAGATTTATTATTGCGGCATACTAAATTATTTAACAGAGTAAATTGTTGAAATGAATAGTACAATATGAAACAAGAACATTTTTAAATAAACAACAAACTAGAACATTATTTTTGTAGTTTTGAAATGATTGTTAATACATTAATTTGTATATAAAATTCATACATACGTACTTGCTCTCCTCAATCGTGACAAGTATGGCAGTACTTTTGAAGTGATATGACATAAATCATAGGAAATTAAGGTTTTAAGGTATGTGCTCAATTCCCCTTTTCCTTATGGAAGAACATTGTTAGACAGCTATCGAATTTATGAACGAACCAGTCAAGTTCCCCCACCTCATCATATCCGTGTATCATCAATACGTTCAGAACTTTATAAATCATATACAATTTCACATGCCGATTATTAACGATAACTTGGAGTACTGCTCCTTAATTTTGTACTTCTGACGTGTATCCAAATCGTAAAGCTATTTTACATATGTAGTCCATTAAATAAATATTCTAGCAAACAATTTTATAGCACAGAAGTATTACACAAAAACAATATTTTAAAAGTATATTTCGGTCAGATGTTTTATTTAGTGAGGTTTCTCTTGTAATATAATCTATACCTGCGAAATGAGAAAAATCGTTCATTACTTTACTATTACATTACATTCGTCCACAAAATGAAATAGCTTTAACTCTGTCGTTGGGAATCGCCATTGCCATTGGATGTACATTTTACCGAAGAACTAATATGTAATATTTCAAAAGGTTTCGTTATGGTGAAAGTTCCGCAAAGATGGAAAGCTATTATCTGGAAAAGATGCACCAAAGCTTATAAGAAAACACATAAAGCGTCAAATCCAACTGTGACAGATCTACTTTTATATATTCACCATTTGGCCAGAGATCTTATTCTGTGGCGGAAAAATATTCGAAAACTAGCATCTACGATCTTAACACAACTATTCAATATTGATAATGGAAGAGTTCCGACTGACCCTGCCATTAACCCAAATTTGTTTCTATTTTCTTAAGTAGCAGTGATGATGTCACTTTCAAATGACATCATTTGTCTTCTGTGAAACGTAGAATCGCACGCAGGGTTCAACTAGTTATGTATACATAATATAAATTAAAATAAAAATAAAATAAATTTTTTATTTGTTTATTAAATATTTTTGTGATTTATTAATTAAATAAATGTTTAATTATTATTTTGCAGGTTATAACTGCAAAAACCGTACAAAATCGAGTATAAACTAGATCAACAGTTCAAAAGATCGCGCTACAAATGAAATGCAAAGTAGGTGGAGAACTGTGACATCTAAATGTCCCATTTAAAAATGTAATGATATGTGGAGTAGGCGTTTACCATGATCTATCAGAAAAACAGAATTCTGTTTCAGGTGAAAAAATGACTATTATTCTTGATTTGTATATTAAATAATATTTAATAACCTTTTTTAGTTCTTCGAATAACATCTATTCAAAATGGTTCAGTTAAGTTTTTATCCACAAGCCTGAAGAAGAAATCATCAGAGAATATTATGGAATTTTAATTGAAGCTGTCGCTAGTTATGAGACATATAACAAATGTTTCCTAAACAATATTATAATATATAGGTAAGAATTTATAATATTATTGTATATAGTTAAGAAGTTAATTCAAGTTATTTATATTATCCATTCTTAAGTTAGAGACATATAAGTAGTACCCACCCAATCAACGAGTTATGTTTGTTCTATATGCTATGTTTGTTGTTTATATTTTTGACTACACCTACAAAAATCACTGGTTTGTATATGATATTTTCGTATTTACTCTACATCAGTTGCGAGAGTTTATCAGTTTTTATAAACCCTTTAACTTGTCAACAGCTAAAATATTTCAGTTGTGTCCAGAGTTCTTATAGGAAAATGTATACTATACTAGGGACCTGATCTTTTTAAAAAATCACATCTATTAAATCGTTTTATTTAGTTTGAGATTTATTTCGATGCGCTGTGTATTCATATCACCTCATCAAACTGTGCTTATAGCCCGTTTTCTCTTTTCCGCAGAAACTTGTCTTTACTACCTCTTTCATTTGTGACGTTTTCTAACAGCACTCCCTTTGAAGGACACAGTTTATCAGATTCAAATTTACGGTGTGCTAGAAAGTATATTAGTGCGGAAATCGCTTTGAACGACCAAAAATTGAAGAAAAATTATTTAAAATACAATTAAGTTCCATCATTAACTGTGTGACCTGAATCAACATAGTAAGTTGATTTGATATTACTGGAGATTGTGAATTAAGTTACTTACATTTTGTCACATTTTTGTCAATTTTTGGACCCTGATTTTAGTATTGCCTTTGAGAAGGTTCCATTGTATATTTTCCATTATTTGTTTTTTTTTATGGTTTGGTAAGTTTTATCAAAGTAGTAGTGCTTTTAAGTTTTATGCTTCAGAAATAAATAAAACGGAGATTTGACCTACTAGCATGGTTCCCTAAACTGCTGTGATCCGTCAGCAATCTCACCATAAGACCAATATCTTTATAGGGCATCTCAACGTTTTTAGTTCGTCCGTTATAATTCCGATCCATTTTAAAGGGGTGGTTCTTTAATTGAGTAAGGTTCTCTAGGAAGAAAGTTCGAGGAATAATTGATATAAATGTTAGCTAATACCATTAAAAAAGATGCTAAAATAATTTTATGAAAATTATCTATTCATCCACACGTTCCGTATAAATATTTTGAGTGTGAAAATATTTCTTCTGTATAAACCTCTTAAAACTTGATTTTAACTAAAAAATAGATAAATGTGTTTGATTATCGATCATAAATTTAATGTGATTAGTTGTATGGCATTTTGTGTGTGCTGGTCACAGATAGATATTAGATTCTTTATATTATATTATAGTTTATTCCCATTGTATATATATCAAGGCAGTAATTGTACCTTGATTTCAATAGAGGAATTTTTCCTTCGATTTTTCATATGTGCAAAGTAAATATGAGCTGAAACGTTAAGCGCCAAAACTCTTAATATCTTCAGAGATATTAAGATTTTTAATATCCAATTCAATATTTATCTTAATATCTAATTAATAAAGCTAATTCCTGTTTTGTTTCAATATTGTCTTTGTTTTTATTTGTCGAAATTAGTTATGTTGAGGATAATTTTAAATATAGAAATATATTAATTGTACTTGCAACAATTCCAACAATTCTGTCCTTCATTCTAATGCTGCTTCTGTAATAAAGGAACACTATAAAATATATATACAAATTTTGTAAAAATTTAAAAACTTTTCGACAAGGTTCTGCGGTAATACAATAGGTGTAGTAAAAGCAAATCCATTATTTTTGCATGAAATTGAAGGCTTATTTGCCTCAGGTGAAATGATCAGATTTAGGTGAAGTATTCGTCATTTTGTTCGATAACTTGTTGCCATTTTGAACGTTATTTCATCATGCCTCTTATAGAATTCCTCGTCTCTATTGGCAAAAAATTGAGACAATCGATTTCAACAAACCATTCTTGAAACGAATTTTTCACCAGAAAAAAATATTGTTCGCCATGAACAGGAACACAGAAACAGATGGTAATCATTTGGTGCTTGATCTTAACTATAAGATGGATGTATAAAAATTTTCCAACCAAGCTTCAAGAGCTTTTGGGGAGTCATAGTGAGTGTGTTTGGCCTAGCGTTATTCTGACAGAACACAGTTCCTTTCCTATGGCTCAAGTTTGGCCGTTTCTGGGCGATTGTTTCCTTTAGACGTTCCACACTATACAATTGTTGACAATACAGTCCCGAGTTAAAAGTTTTGCCATAGGGGAGCAGCTCATAAAAGATGATTCCAAACACACAGTAAAATCGTCCTGAGCGTCAATCCTGGATTGGTCACTGTGTTAGCCGGTTCACTGCTATTCGACCATGAAAGTTTTCGTTTGATTATTTTCGGTTGTCGTAAGTGATGAACTTTTCAGTGGTAATTACCAGTTTTGTTGCGATTCATACATAGAGTTTCTTTTTGTATCCAGCCTTATTCAATTAGTTCCAAACGATTTTATGTGCAATCTTTAACTCTTGGCCAATTGATACAGTGCTCGCATTACTCGAACTGGTCAGATTCAACAATTGCTATGATTTTATTGAAATTTTTGTTAATTGGCATTCCAGTGCGTGGTGCACTCTTCACATCGGAAGAGTGCACCACGCACAAAACCAAACTGCGCATGATTAGCTGTTACAGTAACAGAACCATAAACACCTGATTTGCGTTTTCGACTTTATCAAATAAAACATATCAAACATGGCGTATTTTCTTTATCTCCATTGTTAGTATCCTCACAGAATACTAATTCAAGCAATTACCAAAATGTCAAAAATTGTTTAGCACGAGATCTCATCATTCTAACGACATCTACCGCAACCCTATCGGACCTATACACGGGATACAGATAACTAAAACCATCTATTTCAAAATTAATGGATTTTTTA